TCCCGTGGGCTGAAGCCATGGGCGGGGAGGCAGCAGCTAAAACTATGGCCAGCGCTTTCTGGAGAAACTGAGGCCCGGAGAAGTCACGTGATTTGCCCAAAGTCACCAAGCTGGACGGCCACACCCTAAGGACCCAGAAGAAGCTGCAGGCGGGGGCCAGGGCGACTGGGCTTCAGGGAGGAGGGATCGGAGGCTGGAACGCCTGGGTCTCGGCTGTCACCCACCTGTGGGTGCGGTTGAGCTGGGTCCGGCAGGGGACGGAATCTCGGATGCACGTGCCGCTGATGGGGTCGGCGGGCTCCACGATGACGAAGGGCCTCTCCTCGAGGGTGGCCACCGTCAGGTGCTGCGTATCATCCACCGGCTGCAGGAAGCGCCCGTAGCGGGACCACAGCGGGTACTTGAGGCGCAGAGTCCGCTGCTCCCAGCTGCCCACCTTGGCCGAAGAGAAGGGGGTCAGCCTACCAGGAGGGAATTGCCCAGACGTCCTCCTGGCTTTCAGGGAGTTCTCTCAGCTCCAGGAGTGGGGCCCAGCTCCCCCACACCCGGGACCCAGGAGTCCTTGCTCCTTCAGACCCAGGACTCTGACCCCCAGCTCCTTCTCCCTCCAGGATCCAAGACTTCGGGCCCCCAGCTTCCTCCTCCCCCCAGGACCCCCTTCCTTCTTCATACCCAGGAACTCCAGGCCCCCAGCTCCCTCGCCCTTCAGAGGCTGCAGTCTAGGCCCTCAGCCCCTGTCCCCTGCCTGAGGTCTAGGCTGGGACTCACCACCTCCCAAGTCCTGTCCCTGGTAAGGGAGATGACCACCAGGGAGGGGTTCACCAGGAATCCATCCTCGTTGAAAGAGTAATCTCTGTTGTCCCAGGTGATGTTCATAAAGTACCTGGCCAGGAAGAAGGAGGGGATACGTGGGGCCGTGGGCTGGGTCCCTGGGCAGCTGGGGACAGAGAGGCCCCTTTGCACTGGGGCCCCAGTCCCCTGGACCGCCCTCACCTCTGAGATCGGAAACAAACAGGCCTCCTTGCCGAGCACTGGCCCCTTGCCTGGTGCCCCCAGGACAAGATCCCAGCCCCTCAGCCTGGCATCCAAGGCCCTTGTGGCCAGGCTGAATTCACCTCCCAGCCTTTCACCCTAACTCCACTGTCTTCATCAACCCTGAGCTATTGCAGCCCCGCCAACCGCCCACGTTTCCTCTCCTCTGTGCCTTTGCACATTATGTTCCCCTGCCTGGAATACTCTCTACTCGGTGAAGTCCCGTTGCTTTAAGAATCAAATCCAAACCCCTTAAAAATAAACAGAAAACCAAACCTGTTGCTGCTGAGTTGATTTTATGTCACAGTGACCCCACAGGGCAGAGGGGAATTGCCCCATAGGGTTCCCAAGGCTGTCATTGTTATGGAAATGGGCTACCCCATCTTTCTTCCTATGAGAGGGTGGGGTGGGTTTGAACCACCAACCCTTTGGTTAGCAGCCAAGTATTTAACCCAGTGTGCCACCAGGGCTCTTCCTAAAACCCTGACCC